GATAGTCCACAATGGGTACAGCATCCATAATCTAAGATTCATACAGTTTACAAAGTCTAAGTTGGTACATCTTCTAGAGTCTAAGATGTCAAGAATCGACATTTTGTCACATATAACACCAATCTGTGGTTAATAAATGGGTCTAAGATGGTACAGTCTCTAGAGTTTCGGAGGATTTAGCTTCTAATTTTTAATGGTACATCCCCCAGAGTCTACAATGGGTACAGCATCCATAATCTAAGATTAATACAGCCTACAGAGTCTAAGTTTGTACATCTTCTAGATGTCAGGAATCACCATTTAGTCACATCTAACACCAATCTGTTATTAATAAATGGGTGTAAGATAGCACAGCCTCTAGAGTCTTAGAGGGTTTAGCCTTTAATGTTTAATGGGTGCATCCTCCAGAGTCTACAATGGGTACAGCATCCATAATCTAAGATCAATAAAGCCTACAGAGTCTAAGTTGGTATATCTTCTAGAGTCTAAGATGTCAGGAATCACCATTTAGTCACATATAACACCAAGCTGTGATAAATAAATGGGTCTAAGATGGCACAGCCTCTAGAGTCTTAGAGGGTTTAGCCTCTAATGTTTAATGGGTATATCCTCCAAAGTCTACAATGGGCACAGCATCCATAATCTAAGATTGGTACAGCATACAGAGTCTAAGTTGGTACATCTTCTAGAGTCTTAGATGTTACATATAACACCAATATGTGATTAATAAATGGGTCAGGAAATGCTTTGACAGACTGACGGGCAGATGGACAAACTGAGCAATATTATAACAAACAGCATTATTAGTTGTGTTAACACAGCAAACACATATCACTATCATCCAAACTTGTATTTGTTAAAAAAGATTATACACTAAAACATTTCTTAAGGATGGATGTAATTAACAATCTGTTAAGGTATAAGGATTGCCTGAAATGATCTCTACCGACATCCTATTTACATACATTATCTTGTGTTACTATGGCAACCAATTGACAAAACATGTTTAGACTCACCATAGCAGATAATAACATATGTATCAATCTGTCAATGAGCCTTGTAAATATGATTCTGTAAACATGGAATTCTTTTGAAATGTAATAACAAAAAAGCGCCACGCCCACTTTGTGGTAAATCACTTAGTAGTTATCAAACATGAATAGAGTCCAAAGCCAAATATGTCAACCTATTCATAGATTACTAGTAATCATGTTATCTAATTGTAAACACCTTCAATATGTATTAAGCTCAACTTTGCATTCATTTTGAAAAAATAAAAATGACAATTTACCATCCGTTTGTAGGGCCACGGTTGATTTATCCTTAATATTTTCAATATTTTGCAGTTAAATTGTGTTGCCATGGTAACCAATAGTCCAATCAAGATTAAACTTTCCATGACTACTAACCGAACATAGGTGCATGATCTCTGAAAATTTGAATGTGATTGGAGGCACATTACAGAAAATATAAATGCTTATCATAGTACCCCTCATAAAATAAGATCAAGGGGTACAAATAGTGATTTTTACATGTTTTCCACTACTTAGATTTTTCTAGATTTTTGATATGTGTTTTAACTCATCAATATGCATTTGTTGCACTAGGTTTAATTAGGTGTGCAATTTTTTCATTTATTTTTGATAATTTTACTGGAGTATTGTAATTCCCTCATGTTAAAATGACTAGTTAGTTGATTTAGACGGAACAAAATTCGAACCAAATTATCATGGCCTGTAAAATAGTAGCTTGTGAGTGATGTAGCCAAAGGGCATGCTACCCGGAAAATTTAGGAGTTTTGGGCTGTTTTAGTGCGTTCTGAGCGATTCTAGGATCAAAATATATGATTTACGTATTTAAAAAAAATGAATTTTAGGCTTATTAATGGCGCATTCTGGGCAATTCTGGTGCATTCTGATCGTTCTAGGGATCAAAATATATGATTTACGTATTTTAAAAAATCGAATTTTTAGGCGGTTATTTGACACGTTCTGATCGTTCTAGGATCAAAATGATTTGCGTATTTTAAAAAAAACTGAATTTTTAGGCTTTTAGCGCATTCTGGGCGATTCTGATCGTTCTAGGGATCAAAATATATGATTTACGTATTTTAAAAAATCGAATTTTTAGGCTTATTTGACACGTTCTGAGCGATTCTAGGATCAAAATATATGATTTATTAAAAAATCAGGGGCATGCTCCCCTGAAAAAGTTAAGATTTTTGGGCTGATTTAGCAGTCAATACTCCTAATACCATTGCGGTATTCCCGCAACCGTAGCAGTTGTGCTCATGCCGCAATATTAATGTCAAATTCAGTGCTAATATTATTTATTAAAGTTGAGTATTTAAAAATTATATTTTGGGTTCACTATTAATTTAAATAGAATAGTATGACGAATCATCACAGATTGGAGTTATATGATAGACTTTTAGATAATAATGCTTGCGTATCGTATTCACTCCGTATTCTTTAAAAATGGCGCGCTGCATGCGTTTTCAAGAGGAATGATTTCTTGAATAAATGGCTAAATATTATATCATTGGGAAACCTTGCTGCATTCTATCTTGTAAAGGAGAGATCATTAGTTCCACGTTCAAACATAGCATAGCAACAACAATCTATCGAGTCTACAAAAATGCCGAAAAGTCGTTCCAGGTAAGAAGTAGAAATTATTTTTCGAATTATTTTCCATTCCAGCCATTCCCAAAACATAAGATATGGGAGTATTTAATAATAATACAGGGGCTTGAATGGGGTATCGAACAATGACCTCGTGTGTTCCTAGACCCTCCCTTATCTTCAATACAAGCCCAGTGTGAGAGAGATGCAATATTCTCTGAGAGGAATTGCACCTTTCTCTTTAGGAGGACAGTGTGGGTAGCCTTCAATTGTACCATTTCAATAAAGATTTCGTATTGGGGCATGTTAACCGAAAAAATCATAGTAAAGGGGAGATCCGTCGAACTTCGACCATGGGTTTACTTCGTCATGGGCACAGATATTGGCCAGATCGTTTGTAGTAGGATCTCATAGGCTCAAAGAATAATTATTGAGCTACTGATCCTACTACAAAAGAATCTGGCCGAGATCTATGGTCATGGGGCTATTTCGACCATGGGGTTACAGGGCTCTCACCAGAAAAAAATTAGGGTGTGGTGCTTGTTACTGCGAATACGCGATTCGAAGCGTGAGTAAAGCTAACGCATGAGTAAAGCGAATGCGCGAGTAAAGCGAACGCGTGAGCGGAGCGAGCCTAAGCTATTAAAAATATTTTGTAACTATATTCACTTGCAAAAGTTCTTTCATGCATAATTTGTGTACAATATAAGAAATATACATTATACCTTCTTCTATTGAATCACTGCAAACTTTCTGATTCTGAATTATTACCTGCTGGATTGGCAGGCCATACTTTTTGACTTCCTGTTTACTTGTTGAATTATAACCTGCTGGATTGGCAGGCCATACTTTTTGATTTCCTGTTTATCGGCAAGTATAATTCACTCAGTATTTCTCAAATACTGATGATTATCTGTCAATTTCACTTAAGATTTGTCTTCTCTAAGGTAGGTTAGTTCATGTTCTTTTATTCTGATTACGTTTTGAGTAGAATTTACAATTAGTTTTATAGAAGAGATAGGTTGAATTGTTTCAATTTTTTTTTGATCTTGGCCTTGGGCCGTGATCTGCCGTCGGAAAAGTGACTCTGAAGCTCCTTGCGCAATTATTTTGGCGCAGAAGCGGTACCTCATGTTCAATACAAATATGGCTGTCAGGTAAAAGAAATTTGTTTATAAATCATGATTTAACACGATATTAGCGTGAATTTTCAACAATTTAGGCTGTGGTTACTACAGTTTAGACTGTGGTTACTACCTTCTATTTTGGATAGGTTGTGGCGGCACTCAATTAGAATGTGGCGGGGCGCCACACTCTAAAAGCGTAGCGAGAGCCCTGGGTTATTTCGACATTGGCTTATATTTTCGATTCACGAAGTCGCCATGTTTGTTTTTTGAATTTTTTTAAAAATAAATTGAAATCTCCAACAGGCATGATCTTGAGGTGCCATGGTCCTGACAGGAAATGCCAAAACAGGAAGTGACAAAACCATACTGAATTTTGAAGATTTTTTGAACCAAGATAACAGCACAGGGGTTTGTATGGAAGATCAGGCAGAGCCCTCGTATGTCTCAAGTCCTAATCTTCCTGTGGATAACAAAGTTCTGTTTTGACCTCCAGTCAGTTTGACTAGTGCCAAATATCATTTACATGACCAGGATCACAATGTACATGGTCAGAATGACCCTAAACATGATGAAATAATTTTTTCAGCCCTCTGACCTTGTACATTGTGATCCTGGTCATGTAAATGATATGTTGAACTAGTCAAACTGACTCGAGGTCAAAACAGAATTTCTGTTACTGTAGATTGGGTTAATTTGACGATTTTGCCATTTTTGGCATATTGGCGGCTATTTAATTTGGCGGATATGCAAAAAATTGGGCATGTTTGGCTATGTTCATTTTTTTTCTTTTGAGGACCACTGGCGATATTCACCATGTTTGTACATTTTTGTGAGATCAACCTTTACATTTTGCACTTCGATCGATGTTGCTACTATACCGCGCTTTTCCTTTCTAGTTTTTCCCTGAGTATTAATGGGTGACTGACCAGTTCTGAGCCAATTTATGAGGCTTTTTTTCATATTTTTGGAAAAAACTTAACCGGAAGTGACCTAAATACACTGGACAAAATACCCTAGATAATTCCCGGGGATTCATTCTAAATTTTGGCGAAGATTTATATTGGCGAATTTTACAATTTCGCCAAATTCGCCAAATTAAAGCGGGCACCAAATTAACCAAATCTACAGTATCTTACTAATGGTTCAAAAAATATTTAAAATCCAGTGGAAATTTATACTGAACATTGATGCCTATAAGCCTCCCATTATTATAAATCTGTCCGTAATTAAAAGTTAAAGATGAATGTTTGTATTACAGAATCAAGCGTGGCGTGAAGTATGATGATAAGCATGAGCATGAAATAGGCACCTTACCACAGCGAAGGCTTGTTGCTGATGCATATTGGAGGACTCAAAAAACTGGAGACACAGTGAATTTTTGGACATGGTACATCAAAGACAATGGGCCCTTTACGATTGAAAACTTTAAGAAAGTTGCCTCTAAAGACCTTGACCTTGACTGTGTGGATGAAGATGGCCAGCCATTATATCCCTCAATATCGAGAATACAGCCAAAACCACTCTTTGATATTATTTGGAATAGTAGCAATCCTGCTTGGGTTCCAAGACAACCAACAAACAAACCACAGTCAAAGATAGATATTCTTAAGGTATGTTAAGTGATTTAAGTACCCATTCTATTATGATTGATGGAAATATGAAGATAAAAAGGCTGAGCATGTAATTAGTGTGTGGGTTTTAAAGCAGTCTTGCATGTGACATATTGTTATGGTCACCAACTTTTTTTGTGTTTGGTGTTCAGTGGTTGGTGTTCGGCAGTTGCTGTCTGTAACAAATGACAGGTGGTGACAGTTTGCATGTTAATGCCTTGTCTATGATTATTGCCAAAACTCAAAAACCAATGGACTGTTTTATTTTTTTTCATATGTGATGATATGTGAATACTTGATGGCATAAAAATGTATAAGTTAGGAATGTTAACACATCACATATCTTACAACAGATATCCTGTTATTCATTATATTGTTTTTCATCCTGATTGTTTCTATGATTTTTTTTTGATTTTTTTTTTTATTAGGGGAGAAAGAAAATCATATTTTGGATCTGAACTGTTCACCCCAGATGAAGAAGTCGACCAGTATGTCATCTTAAAAAGATCAGCAGTGATCTTACCCCTGTAAGTAAATTTAATAACAAAAGACATTGGGCCTTAAAAAATAGATTCTCTGTTAAATATCAGAGAATTCATTTCATGGCCTATTAAAGTAGAAAAACTCATTCTAATACCATAAATATGAAAGCAATTAACATGTATTCATACCTTTATTATCCAAGCTAACAAAGTTTGGTTGGGATAAAGTGAAACCCTCCATCCATCCATATGAAAGTGTGACAAAATCTTGCCACGATTATCTGGGCAAATTATTGACTTATGAAATGTTTCATTCAGTTGTGTTCAAAATAAGTGCTATATTCTTTTTGTAGAACTCAGAAGTTGATGTTTGTGGACAAAGTCACTGGAAAGCTGCTAAAGAGAGCTCGCATAGGATGGCACGTCTTGACCAAATAAAACTGGTGTATTTGGCTCTACATGCAGACATGTTATACCTCCTAAACTTCTAAACATGTTCCAAGGGGAGATATTCGCTTATGCACACTGTATGCACTCCTATGGCCAAAGGCCATTCTTCTACATGCCAGGTAAGAAAAAGTATTTAACTACAATATATAGTCTTATATATTCTTGGTATATAAGTGTTCCTTTTTTGAATACTGAGAATACCTTTTTATTATTAGCTTCAATGATATGGAATATACAGCAAAGCATAACATATACAGTACAAAAACTATATTAAATGAAAAAGAAAATTCCTGGTACAACGTTTTTTGTTTTTGTTTGGTGTATAGGATGCCATCTTGAGTTTTAAGAAAACCAGAAATTCTTAAAAGATGTACACTCAGTATCTTGATTGAGAAGTGCATAAAAAACAAATACTGGATGATCAGGAGCTGGAGGTGGGCAAAATTCCTAACGGCAGTATGTATTTTGCTATATCAAGCTCCTGATCATCCAGTTACAAAACTGAACATATGTATTTTCAGATAATGTGGGGTGGTGATTGGAAGAAGGGTGCTTGGACAACATCCAATGCTTGCAAGCCCTCCAAATACATGGGTTGTGCTAGTGAGTAAAATTGTTAACTATATTCAAACAGTTGAAGTCAATAACTAAGTAATAGTAAATTATACATTTTCAAACAAATTATCAATAAAGAATGCCTCCATACCATTTGTCTGCAGGTATAGTCAGAAGAAAACATAAAACAAATGATTTACACATTTCTTTGCCTCACTTTTATAGGAAGAGAGGAGGTGATCACACGTCTCGTTTCATTTTGGGGAACGAAGAAAGTGAAGTCGCTCCTGGAGTATTTAACTCGAAGATATAGGAAGGTATCTTTATATAAATTGATCCAGATGTAACTTCAAAGGTTTTGTCAATTCAATTCTACTTGACAGTCATCTTGAAACTTAAAACAGATTTTCCACAAAAATGTCTTAGTTAACAATGTGATTCGTTTCATGGTTACCATAGTAACCCATCGTGATGTCATATGGGGTAAATAAAACTCTCGACTTGATAGGCTGAATAAATTAGAATAATCTTTCAAAATCAACCAATCAAAAATAGACTCTATATTTTGTATACACTTAGTTTTGTTTGAGATTCAGTATGGAAATGCAATATCTTTGAAGTTACATCAGGATCACCCTGTACATGGAATATGTTTGAAACAGAAAGAACTGCACATTATCAACTACAGTAAAACCTGTGTATATTGAACATTTTTTTACTGAGAAAACGTTCAGGGTTTGTAGCTGTTCACTCCAGAGGGGATAATTTCTACAAAAGTCAGTAGAGTATGTGGGGAGAGGAAGGGTGTTAACTAGATACAGGTGTTCACTTGAGAGATGTGTCCACTCAGATGGGTTTTACTTTACATTGTAATAATTTGAGCTTGAGTTCAGAGTTCCCTGTGTTAATCCTTTATTTGTCATATTTTTCAAATGTATAGAAAACCAGGAATAGATGTACAGGGACTTCATTAGCAGCAGGCAACAAGCGATTTTCAGCAGTTGTTTTCATATAATCGCCCATTGTTTTGAGGGACTTTTCAACTTTTCCATGTTGAATTTATGATTTCCATTAATATTGCCTGCTGTTTTCATTTACTTAGTCTGCTGTGAAAAATTCTAGTGGAACCCCTGGATGTATATGCAGGAAACAATCCTTTGCTAGCAATTTTTGGCCTGTATGTCAAAACTTTTTATTTCAAATAGGTGAGAAAATGGTTGCTGAGGCTGAAGAAGGCCTTGCAAAGTACAAGGAATATGATATACTTGATCATGTTCAAGGTAGGATATATCATGTGATGACCTAACAACATGCTCCATTGTTTGTCGAATTTTGTTGTTGTTGCAGTTGTCATTTTCAAATTAAGATTACATAATACTCTATTAGATCTCAAACATTCTAATGTCTATCATTTGTGCCTTTGAAACTCCTAAATGGAATATCTGCCAATTTAATAAAGGTTAGAATAGATTTTAAATATTACATTGAGCCATTTACAGATTCATGTATGCAGTGTTCATTGGGATTTGCTACTCCGTGGAGTTGCTGATTTGTAGTTTTATATCATTTTTCATCTTTTCCAGATTTTACAAATAGGAATGGTGTTTCTCCCGAGGTAGAATATTTTCAGCTGAGAAAACAAGAATATGTTTTCAATGCTTTAAACAATGGACAACCAAGAATAGTTACCGGTAAGCTATCTTATGATTTATTTTTTGTTATTTATTTATATTTATATGATTTGCTTTCCTAGTTATTACAAAGTGAAACATTTGTTCCCTCTGAACAATCACAATAGTATCATTCTAGTATAATGTGATTATGTTTTTTGGAAATAGGTACAGTGGATTTGCATCTAAGCCTTGAAAGTGGGGTGGGGGCTTATTAGGGGATGAGCATTAATACTGCAATAATGTTTAGTTTTAGACATTACAATGTATGATATCCCATCAATACAAGATTAACATATTCAGGAACTTGGTTGTTTGAATTTTTCAGAGACAAGTAAGGAATGCCACAAGCTGAGAAGGGCCAACCAAAAGACAAAGAAAGCAATTGAGAATGCAGTGGAAATATACAACATTGCTGCACAAGATATAGAAAATGAAGTACAAATAAATTCAACCGAAATGGGATGTATTCTGAAAGCTGATTTCCCATGGAGGTCGGACATTACTCTGGGGAAGAAAAGAGACCTTGTTAATAAGAAAGAATCATTTGAAAGACTTAAAGAGGAAGAGGTCCTCCTTAAAAAAGAAATGAAACAATTTCTATTATATTACAAGTCTAAAGATACAAATGGAAATGTAGGAATGGAAATGGATGTAAACAATATCAACGATGCTACATATATGAAAGGATTGGTGGGTTTACCTTTCTTTAATGATGAGGCCTATGCTTGATGAAACAATTGTTGACAACACCTCGGAGAGTGATGATGATTCTGAATTGTCAGACTTGTCAGACATAGAATCAGACCAAGAGGAAAGAATGGGACAAGAAAACAATACACAATTTAATATTGTCTGAACTTTGTTCTATAAAAAGTGATACATCATTAAATGATGAGTCAGTGAAAGGATCATAATATTAATGTAAATTAAAAAGTATCGAAACTTTAATGTCTAAAACTAACTCAAACAATCCAGGTCAAATCTAAGTTTTTGAAGTTTCTCTAAGTTTTCTATAGCCTATACTTCATTATTTCTTGTGGCGTACTGTAGATTGGGTTCATTTGGCGCTACTTCATTTGGCGATTTTGCCACTTTTTGGCTATTTAATTTGGCGGACACTGGGGCTTGAACATGCTCTGACACCACAACTCCCATATACACTGGAACAAAATATAAATTGTTACACCCATTCCTACAATTCAACTACTATATTTTAAGCAGTTCCCCTGAGCCAATTTAGAAGTGGCATTTTCTAATTATCACTTTCATCCTTTTTAGATTTGTTAAAACTGACTTAAACACACAAAATCAAATTCCCAGAGATCCTTTCTAAATTTTGGCGAAGATGTAAATTGGTGTTTTTGGTCTATTCTGCCAAATCAAAGCGGGCCCAAATTAACCCAAGCATTCATTACAAATTGAGAGGTCAAAAATTGAAAAGGCCAAATCTTGAAATTTTCCAATATCATTCTCCAATATCAACTTCATTTGTATCAATGTAATGGATTTTGTTGAAATTCCATTCACATCCACAGTATTCTATTTATAAAATCTATGTTACTTTCAACCTGTTAATAGGGAGTTTAAGCTTGCATTGTTTTTTTTCACAACCTAGAGGTGTATTGAAGTTATTTAAATGATGCATTTGTATGGGTGATGGGTCATACATTGAGGTTTGCATTTGGATTTTATATGCAAGCTTAAACTCCCTACTATGTATTTTCAGTGAAGAATAAAACAGTAATAAGTTGAACACCTTCAGTACATCTAAAAAGTGTCCCTCATTGGAGGTTGTACTTATAAAGGTTCATTTAACATTAACTCAATTGGTCTTGGTCAAGTGTTCCACTAGTATAGATGTTCTACTTTTTATTATAGGTGTCCTACTTTACAGATTCCACTGCTACTGTATCATAGAGCATATGAATGACATGCACTAATATAACTGCATGTAAAAAATTGTTCAATGACACTTTGTTCAATGACACTTTGAATACCTGCTTGAGTTATTTCAAGAGTTCTGGTAATCCAAATTTAGGGTCAAGAAATGATAGCTCTCCCTGTCAGTTATATACAGGGTGAGCCAAAAAAGTAACCATATCAAATCTTAATTACTCAGTCATCCTGCATGGGTTTAGTGTTGTAATCTCTTGTTTCAATGTTTTAAGTGTTGTAAG